AAAAAAAAAAAAAAAAAAAAAAAAAGATGTTGGAAACACAAGAGGGGACTCTTACCAGCTTTGTACCAATTGAACTGATGGCGTCCTGAGAAGATTATCCGGAAGGAGACTTATTTCTTTCATTATGTTTGCCAATCTAACAGGCAACTCTTGCCGCAGAAACATAAATGAGGTCTTTTCACAAGCATCCACAGATCCTGAAACCAAACATGGTAAGAAAAGCAGTTAGTAGAAACCATCAGACAGCTGAAGCCACAAGGCAGGGAGAAAGACAGAGGAAGTTATCTGGCGGGGCCAAGAGAGGTAGAACACCATAATGATAGGGTACAGAATAGGAGGCAAAAGATATCCATGCCTGAGCAGGGTGGGAGAGGAGATAACAGTCTTTAGAGTTCTGAGGTATCCAGAAGAACCTTCCAATTCCTGGAATTCCAATCCCTCTATAGAGCAATTAAGATACTTTCCTGTCTCCTTTACTTCCTCAAGCATCCTTACCTGATTATCTCCCTAACCTGAGCATGTCTGAGCAAGGGTCAATCTAATTAACAGTAGAACATGAAACAGTCTTTCCTATATAACCTGCTATCATTTTGAAAATCTGATTCCTAACTCTAGGTTTAAAAAAAAAATCTGAGAAACCAGAAAATTTGAACATGTGCATGGGAAGATTCATTCATTCCATATAGAAGCCCTGTATTAATCACCAAGAAGCCCTAGTGGTACAATGGTTAAGCGCTCAACTGCTAACCAAAAGGTTGGCAGTTCGAACCACCAGCAGCTCCACCAGAGAAAAGACCTGGCAATCTGCTCCCAAAAAGATTAAAAAAACCCATTCCCATCAAGTCAATTCTGACTCATAGTGACCCTACAGGACAGAGCAGAACTGCCCCATAGGGTTTCCTAGGCTGTGGTGCAGTAGTTAAGAGTGATGGCTGCTAAACAAAAGGTTGGCAGTTTAAATCCACTAGCCACTCCTTGGAAATCCTATGGGGCAGTTCTACTCTGTCCTATAGGGTCACTATGAGTTAGAATTCACTTGATGTCACACAACAACAATATTAATCATCAGAAGCAATGAGTAAAGGTAGAGGGCCTTTCAAGCAACAGAAAGCAAAAAACACCAAGGCCTGTTCAGCAACCGTTTTCAGGCTTGTAGCTACCTAATCTTCTTCAGCAGGTCTGATTCAATTGTCAGATTCCTGCATAGCAGATGGCCCTTTTCCATTCCCCGTATCAGGATTCTGAGCAGAACATCTGTAGAATGTCCTCGGGCAAGCAGCTCCATTTAAAGTTAAACTAAAAAGTCATATTATTTCAGTAATGTACTTTAAACTCACTAATGTTGCTCTTTAGCAGAGATAATCTTAGCAAAAACTAGACTGGAGATAGCAGTTATGGTATTAAAGGAAAACATTTTCTTGTGAAAGTGTAAAGGCATACTTGTGAACAAGGCCAAATTCACCCCTTAATCATACTAGTGCCATTTTAAAGTAAAAACAAAACAAAGGGCTTTGAGTCAAAAAAAAAAGTCTGCGATTAGAAATCAGTTTTAAGATAAAATCAGGTGCCCTGGTGGCGCGGTGGTTAAAGAGCTCAGCTGCTAACGGAAAGCTCAGGCACTTTGAACCACCAGCCGCTCTGCGGGACAAAGATGTGGCAGTAGACTTCATAAAGATTTACAGCCTTGGAAGCCCTATGGGGCAATTCTAGTGTGTCCTACAGGGTCACTATGAGTCAGAATCGACGCAATGGGTTTGTTTTTTTAAGATAAAGTTGCCAGCCCTACTAGTATCTTTCAAGTCCACTAGTGATCTGTTAGTGACCTAATAGCAATCACAATGCACAAGGCAACTTTTTTCTACCCAAATTTTATCACTTTATTAGAGTCTGTCCTTTCCCCCTTCATTGCCCCCAAATAGAAAGTCAAACGTTAAATGCTAAGTTTACAGTTCCTTCCTCCATCTGTTGTTATGTTTTCTAGAGAAAACCAGGAAGCATCCATCTGAGCAGGAAGAAAGTTGATCGTCGCTTCCACAGGGGTAATATGTGGTATACCCCACAGCATCTTGTACTCATGCACTTTACACGTGCTCAAGAGTTATTTGCTGCTGATTAAATGAATCTGCTGTTGGTGGAAACACTCCTAAGCCACTGTTGAGAAAAACATACTATGAAACACGGGGCCGGTTATATAACCTGTTTTCCCCCATCATCATGCTAATTTTATGCAATCACATATGCAAAACTGAGCATGTATGAAGCTCTGCAGATCCCGTACACGATTCCCGGGGGTGTCCTTGCACTTGCCTCTCCCCGCAGTTCGGCTCCTCGGAAAGGGCCTGGCCCACTATGCGCATCTGCACCCGTGCTCTGAAAGGCGGGAGGTCATTCCGCTTTCAGCCCTTCTGGTTTGTTTTTCAACAATACACAGTAAAAGACACACACTCCCAGTTATTGACCCGGGCAGCAAGCGCCTGGACCTGAGTTTACGGATCCGCGAGGGAGGAAGGAAGCGTTGCAGGGCACTGGGGGAGAAAACGATAGAACAGGGGTGAGCCTAAGACGAGAGGGGGTCAGCGGCGGCAGCTCCTCGCCCGGGGCGGCGCACAAAGGCCAGAGGCCCAGGCCGCACTCACCGAAGTCTAGGAACTGCTTCATGGAGAGCGGGGACGGCGAGAAGCGCGCATAGAAGTCCACTTGGCCCGGAACGCTGCGTTCAGCCGCAGGGCCGGAGCCCGAGTCCGAGGTGAGGCTGCGGCTGGCTCTGGGCCGGGGGGCGCGCAGCCCGGGGCCCGGGCCGGCCGAGGCGGCGCCCCGCAGCAGCCGCACCAGCCGCATGCCGAGCCCCGCTGGAGGACCTGGAGTCCTGGGCGCCAGGTCGCCGATCCGCAGCTCGGCCCTGCGCTACGTGAGGGACGTGGCGGGCCGCGGGGGTGGGGAACGACTGTCACCTCCGCGGCCACCGCCCCCTCGCCGGAGCCCAGCCCCCTGCCCCGTGGGGCGGGACCCAGTGAGAGAGGGAGGCGGGGAGATAGGCTGGAAGGGCGGGCGCAGGCACCGCCCCCTGCTCCGAAGTCCGGCCCCCTGCCTGTCCGGCGGACTCGGAGAGCTAGGTAGGCAGAGAGGGCGCGCGCGAGGCCGACCCACTTGCGGACCCGCGGTGGGTTCCGCCGAACGACGCCGACCGCCGGGACCCGGCGCGCGGGAGGAGGCAAGGCCTGAGGAGAGAGGCTCGCCAGCTCCCTGGCCCGTCTCCTTTGCCAGGCCAGAAAGCCTGCCGTTGGCTGTGGCGCTCGACTTGCGGTGTTGTGCGCCCCTTTCCCACGCCCTTTTGGAGCAAACGCCACCTTTTTGTTTTCTCTGCCTTCCCAGCCGCAGCCAAAATGCTCAAGAACAGAACTGCGCTCGGCTTCCACCCACCGCTGTGTCACTGCCCCCAGCGCTTTTCCAGATACTTTCTTCTCTGATGCAAACGCCACATTTTACTGGTGAAGAAACAGGCCCTGAGAGCTTCAGGAGCCGACTCTTGCCAAACGGTAATACATAAACACTACAGGATGTGGCCCTCAAAAATACCACAGCGACCGCAATCCTAGGAGATGATTGGCAGCCCAACTGGAAGCTTTATCTGCAGGCATTCCTGGCATGGTCAGCGATGTGTTTAAAGGATCCCTCCGCTTTGACTGCCCAGGTCTTTCAACTAGCTTAGGGGCACAGTCTGGCTCTCCACCCTTTCCAGGCAGGCCTCTTAAGAGTGAACACCAAAACCAAAAAACCAAACCCGTTGCACCCGGGTCGATTCAGACTCATAGGGACCTTATACCCGGAGTAGAACTGCCCCATAGAGTTTCCAAGGAGCAGCTGGTGGAATAGAACTCCCAACCTTTTGGTTAGCAGCTGAGCTCTTAACCACTGTGCCACCAGGGCTCCAAATAGTGAACACAGGACTAGACAATTTCTAATACTGATTTAATCCCAGAGGCAAAGCTGCGAAGGCTGCAGTCTATAGTGAAAATCACCTCTGCCCCTTCGCTGTGAACAACATGCTGCTGCCCCCATGTACCCAGCCCCAGTAGTTCGGTAAGTCTTGTTGTTAGTTGCCTTTAAGTAGATTCCTACTTATAGCAACCCGGTAAGCAGAGACGAGAACTGCTCCATAGGATTTTCAAGGCTGTCACCTTTTGGAAGCGGTTGCCAGGCCTGTCTTCCAAGGCACCTCTGGGTGGGCTCAAACTGCCAACCTTTCAGCTAGTAGTCAAGTACTTAACCATTTGCGCCATCCAGGGACTTCCTTGTATGTCTCAGATGCAAAAAAATTAACTGTGGGTGTGAAATTTATCAATTAAATAAAATATATATATAAGCCCAGCAGTTACTGGTATAGAATAACAATTCTGTATGGTGGTCAGGTCTTGAGTTGTATAAAACTATAATATGTAGAAAGAATGAAATTCTTTTTTAGACTTTATTAGTCAGGCAAATTGTGTTTAGTTCGAAGGGGGAACATTGACCACTTGGAAACTGAAGTTTAGGTAGTTGCGGGGATGGGGTGTGTCATGGATTGAATTGTGTCCCCCAAAAATACCTGTCAACTTGGCTAGGTCATGATTCCCAGTATTGTATGATTGTCTACCATTTTATCATCTGATGTGATTTACGTATGTGTTGTAAACTCTTATCACTATGATGTAGTAAGATGGATTAGCGGCAGTTATATTGATGAGGTCTACAAGATTAGATAGTGTCTTAAGCCAGTCTCTTTTGGGATATAAAAGAGAGAAGTGAGCAGAAAGACATAGGGACCTCATACCATCAAGAAAGCAGTGCCAGGAGCAGAGCGCGTCCTTTGGACCCGAAGCTCCTAGTCCCGGGGAAGACTGATGACGACAAAGACCTTCCTCCAGAACCGACACAGAGAGAAAATCTTCCCCTGGAGCGGACACCCTGAATTTGGACTTGTAGCCTACTAGACCATGAGAGAATAAATTTCTCTTTGTTACAGCCATCCACTTGTGGTGTTTCTGTTAGAGCAGCACTAGATGACTAAGACAGGGTGGAAACAGCACTTTGTAGATGGAAAAGTTTCAGACTGGAGGCGCTCATGTCAGACTAAGAAAGATGGAGCCAACATGCATTCTCGGGAAACAAAAGGTCAGGACGTAAACCATATAGGAAGAGTATGTCAGGATACAAACAATCTGTTCCTAGGAAGAATGTGTATAAACAAACTGGCTGGCACCGCTCACCCAGGTAGTAATCCACTGCTTCCTAGCCAAGTGGTGGACCTTTACATTTTAAAGGACTTCAAACTGAAGCTGATTTTATCAATCATTAAGCCCCTACCTTTCCTTTGTTCTCTATGTATATAGACTCCTCTCTCTGCTTGTACCTCAGAGCACTTTGTATTTTTATCTAGTGCTGCCCAGCTATAGCTGTTCTATTCCTCAATAAATGCTATGTACGGCATCATTCATCTCCCTCAACCTCTGTTTGCATCTCTGCTACAGTCTAAGCATGTCAAAGTGCTCAGCTGAACATTAACTTGAATGGAAGCACAAAGGCCCAACAGAAAACTTGAGATTTATTTTAGCAAATCAACTGTTCTATAAAGTATTTTTTCTTTTCTTCAAATGACATATATTCACAGAGCTCGCACCCAATATACAGAGAATGAGTATATAAGAACATGTATAGAATGGCATCAACTATTTGCTTCTTGGTCAAAGGCTTAGAGTCCAGAAGTTGGAGAGAACCATTGAGAATTTACTAAATGGATGTATTACTTAACTATGTAGATATAAAATATAGTCATATTCTAAGGCTTGTTAATAAAATAATATTAAGCCAATAATATAAATTTATTTGAAGTTTACACCTACCCCTCACTTATCGACTATCTCATTATCCAACATTTCACATTTACCGCAATAGTAATAAATCTACTATCCAACTATTTTGCGCATTAACGACATACATCTGGCAGTAATGAACGCAGAGGTATGAGTTGAGAGTAACATGGGATGTGATGGTTAAGGTTATGTATCAACTTGCTTGGGCCGTGATTCTTAGTGGTTTGGCAGTTATGTAATGATGTAATTTGGCAGCCTTGGTGGTGCAGTGGTTAAAGCAATCAACTGCTAACCGAAAGGTCAGTGGTTCGAAACCACCAGTGGCTCTGCGGAAGAAACTTATCAGTCTGATTCCGTAGAGATTTACAGCCTTGGAAACCCTATGGAGTGGCTATGAGTCAGAGTCAACTTAATGGCAGTGGGTGAGTAATGATGTAGTCATACTCCATTTTGTCTTCTGATATGGTCATCCTCCATTTTCTCATAATGCTGATTTTTGCGTAACAACCTGGTCTTTGGAACCTAACCATGTAGATAAGTGACGAGTAGCTGTATTTAATATACCTGTAGCCACTGAGTCAATTCTGACTCATAGCAACCCTACAGGACAAAGCAGAACTGCCCCATAGGGTTTCCAAGTCTATAGTCTTTACGGAAACAGACTGCCACATCTTTCTCCAAGGGAGCAGCTGGTGTGTTCGAACCACCACCTTTCAGTTAGCAGCTGAGCACTTTAACCACTGCACCACCATGGCTCCTTTTATTTAATATATGCTTTGCAAATCAGGCAACACTTCTGACTAGAAAGTCAAAGTGTCCAAAGAGAAAAGAACTCCCAAAGATTCCTATACCCCATCTTATCAACATTCCCATGGAAAAGGACGGGGTGGTGTTGGGTGGGGGACAGTATTTACATAATAACAATTTACCCTAAAACACAACTTCCAGTTGGGCCCTGGAGTTTCTGTTTCTGGAAATTGACTGCACATTGATAATTCTTCAAAAGAGCACAATGCTCAAGGCAAAACAGTCTTTACTAATTAGCAAGGTTATTGTTTGCCTTAAAGGTGACTTTTAGGAGACCAGTCTGCTCAAGGCTCAAGGTTCAAAAGATCTCAAGGCAATGGCCTGGGTGAGTCACCCCAACTCCAAGGATTTCAGGAAATTAAAACTGTTTCTCAGACTCTATAGACATCTTTATATAGCATACTTGAGCGAGACTCTCTAAATTCACTGAGAATTCATGATCCATGTTGGGCTGGTCTGACCAAAAAAATTAAGAAAAGCGATGGAAAACAAGCTAGTGTCACAAATAATTGAAACACAATGGAATTTGAACTTAAGGTTTATTCTAACCAGTTATTCTATATGTACACAGGGACCAAAGCCCTAGTGGTGCAGTGGTTAAGAGCTATGGCTGCTAACCAAATGGTTGGCAGTTCGAATCCACCAGCTGCTCCTTGGAAACCCCATGGGGGAGTTCTACTCCTATAGGGTCACTATCAGTTGGAACTGACTTGACGGCAACGGGTTTGGTTTGGGTTTTATAGGGAGACCATTTTGATTCCAGTAAAAGCAAATAGCTTGAGGTACAGTGAGATACAATGAGGCTTATAAACAGAAGAGGAGGGAGAAATATAGCCAATCAATCAATGGCTAATCATAACATGATTGGTTGAATCCTGTCCTCCTCCTTTTACTGAGATCAATGGATATCAGTTCACAAGATAGTCTCTGCCCCTCTACCCAGCCATGTGTTTTGAAATTCAAATTTAGTAAGCCTCGCTTTTTCAAACAGGAAAGAAGGATTTGCAACTTTGGGTAAAAGAAAGACTGCTGGCAGATTAATTTTGGTCAGGGATTTCTTTAAAGTGAATATTTGGTTTCCTGAGTAAGAAAACCTCAAAATCAGCCATCTAAGATGCATCAATTAGTCCCAACCCACCTGGAGTAAAGGAGAATGAAGAACACCAAAGACACAAGGAAAGTATTAGCCCAAGAGACAG